TTTTCAATGCTGGTTTAATATCCATTAAGAAAGCAATTAGCAGATTGCTAAGAGTAAAACCTTTCTGCCATTTGTATTAACAGAACACTCATCTGCCCGTGTTGGGTGGCAACTAATTAAAACTAGCAACAGTACTTACTTCAATTCGTCTTCAGTCACATGTATGTAGCTCGGCTGTTTTTAAAAAGTCTTGTCAGTAACAAAATGTTTTTAAGTTTTTGATCTAGTATGTACTGTATCTTTTTTTCACTATTTTAGCTTTATTTTTTATCATAAAACATGTTTAATATGTTAAGCTTTAGTTATCAATTACAGTACAACACTGCTTCCAGGTAGTGTACAGTATTCAAGTCTAATGCAACTTTATATTAAATTCTTATTATTTATTTATTGCCATCGTTTTGATAATGACAATTCCAAATTGGTGAAACCACTAGTGAAAGTGCTGTTCTTATCTAATTTAATAGATTTTTTGGTAACACTTTACAATACGGGTGCACTAATATGCATTAATTCATGCTTAACTAATGCACAAATAATCATGAGTTAATGTATAACTCATGAAGAACTAAACCATTAATTAATGATTACTGCATCAGGAACTAATAAAGAGTCTATATGATTAATAGATTAAGTAATACATGAATTGCTATTAATTCAATGTGTCATTGTGCATTAATTCCTCAATAACATATTTTACTAACTAATAATGTAAATTAATGTGTTAATTACCACAATTAGACAAGGCTATGCACTTCAACTTCCAGTTGTCTACTTTAATTAATCATTAGCTAATGATTTGAAAGGGTATCATTATGCATTATGACTTTACTTGTTGGGGCACATCATTGTTAACTAGTCATTTAGTAATTGTAGTAATTTTCACATGAATTTGCACTAACAATTAAGTAATTAATCATGTATTAATGCTTATTAGTGTACCTGTCATATAGGTTTTGGCTCATTTTGGTAATTAACATATTAATTAACAATATTAGTTAAAAAAAATGAGTTATTATGGAATTAATACACAATTACATATTTAATTAACAACAATTCATGTATGAACTAATACATTAACCTTAAAGACTGTTAGTTAGTTCCTAATGTGGTAATCATTAATGAATAGCTTAGATAATCATTAGTTACACATTAATTCAGTATTATCTGTGCATTAGTTAAGCATGAATTAATGCTTATTAGTGCACCCGTATTGTAAAGTGTTACCTATTTTTTTCTTCTTCAAATCCATTATCCATCCAAGCATCTTACAGTATGTTCAGTGACATTACCACTGTGTGATTCACAGTAGTGCAGAAATAACCAATAATGCACATGAACATACTCATACTCATGGTGCTGTCACTCGCACCAACTGTGAATTTCAGCACATCATTCACTCTATTTGCTTGTCAGACTGTATTTATTGTCCCCTATTCAGACAGGTTTTCCCTGAGGAGTTAGTGTTTTGCAGAAAATCCTGTTTAATCCCATCCGAATTGAACATGTCCGGCTAACTCTACTCCTTCATTGATACTATATGGTTGACCTTGTCAAGTTCACTACCTGGTGCACCTTAATTATAGATTTCAACCTTTTTGACAGGGTAACATAACAGTTGGTGGTTCCACTACTGCTGGCATCCCATCCAATGTACAAAAGTAAATAAAGAAAGTCTGAACACAAACTCTTTTGAACTACTTTAAAAGTCAAGTATGGTGCTCATTTGATGTCATTTGGTGCTCATTTGAATTCCTCCCTTAATTATACACATAATACTGTAATTATATCTCATAAGTAAGTCTTGCATGTTTCAATGGGTGTCCGAATCAAATCAGATAATAATTGTACAATTGTAAATGAAACTTTGTTTGGAAAATTAATCCTATCTGAAAAGTGCTTATCAGATTTCAGAATTAAAATTCAAAGCAAAATTCAGCGTTTTGGCTGTTAAACAACAAAGTGCTCAGTCTCTGATTTACGAGGAGCTGCTTTTAACCACTTTTACCAGCTTATTTTCTGCAGTCTTACACAAGGCTTTCTTAAGGATCTTTATTTAGGGAACACAGCTGTGCTCTTTTCTTCCTCAAAATAAAACACTCAGTCTCAGAGAATAAAAGTATTACCCTCACAAGATGTGCTTTAAAGACAAAGCCAAGCATATGCTGCTGCTCGGAGCATTCTTTTGAAACAATGACAAATTGCAACTGAACTTAATATGTGATCACTGATAAATGTGTGTGCACACCTCTAAGCCATTTAATCAACCCTTTCAATGATTTTCAATGACAATTAAGGCACATTTGTGTTAACTCTCCTGTACACATTAGCTTATGGCTAAACTAGCACCAAATGCTACTTTCAACCAAATGACAGTATTGAATGTGATTTGGATCACCAACCTAAATGTGCTTTCTTTCACTGCTTACAAAACTATAGTATGCCAAGTATGCCAAAGAAAAGTAGTCCAAATACATAGTTTCTGGAAAAAAAAGTGAGCGAAAAATACCCGAATGTTCTACCACTTCCGATGAAAATTTACTATCCCTTGAGGCCACGGGATAGGATTTATGAATGGCAGTGCCGCAATTTGAGTCTATTCTGGAATTTTGAAATGGAAAATGTGTAGGAACCCAGTAACCTTATTCATACTATATAGAACATAGTAAATTCAGATTCAAATTCCTACTCAGATAGCATGCAATTTCGGATGCAGCGAATGTTTATGTTTTGGCTCACATTTTGCCTCTACTTCGTTCCGATTTTCTTGGACATCTATTGGCCTGGATGAATAAAGTTTTTATTTATTATTATTATTATGTTTTTTTTTTTACTGCAGCCACTTCATACTAAACACCTTTTTAAACTTGGCTTTGTGATTGTAAAATCATCTTTTTATTTACTTTCAATTCATATTCAATTGAAATTCAGAAATACAATTAGAACTTCAAGGTTATCAATTCATTTCTGAATGATGCACAACCCTGGTAAACCCATGCATTTGTTTCCAAGTTGTTGCTTTGTTTGTACACGTTTTTAATCATGAACTAAACTGCATTTGGACTTTTTAGAAATTTGACTCAGCTTCAGTGGAACCATTACAGAAAGCTCAATGTTACACAAATTAAAACAAAATGTACAAAAGGGGAACGTGGGGATCAAATGACACATGAAAACAAAGAGCCCAACCAAACACCAGCCTTACAATAGGCAGCCTTTCATTTACGGGATAAAAAATGCACAAAGTAACATGTGCTGGTTTCTTGTCCCCTCCAGCTGTCCTCTAGTGTGAAAAGAAAGCAGAAACCTATTTTGATATGTCTCTATTCGTCTGTTCTTTCGGAGAGGCATTTCAAGGTGTTACTCTTAGCTGTCAGTGGTACACGTACTTCCTGTGGCAGCCTGTCAGAGGGAAGTGTGGCCAGCGTCATCACTGATAATAGAGAACAAGTGCCTGTCCAAATACAGCATAGCTTTTATGGATTTTTAACTGTTTTTGTATGCATTTACCTGTATCATGACTAATAGAGAAATATGGTACAATGTGGCCTAGACAAACATATTGACACGCTTATTCAATTAGAAGGAGGAGCATTGTGGAGATTTGGTTAAAAGGTCAAAAAAGAGAAGAGAAAGCTTAAGCAAAAGTGACTGGATGCCTTTTTTTAGAATCAATCGCTCTGCTTTAATGCGCATGAGGTTTGGCAAGCTGGACTTCTCCTTGGGATGACCCAGTTTCCCAGAATTTCTAAATAATCCACTCTTAAATGAATAGTTCAGCTAAAAAAATTAAAATATAAGTCTTTTGATGTTATATGATAGCTTTATATGAATCAAAATTAAACTTTGTTATGCCCTTTTCTAAAATCGTCCCCTCTGGACTCCTTTTGTGCTACACGGAAGAAAAAGTATCATATAGGTTTGGAAGCACATGAGGGCATTTAAATAATGACCGAATTTTCACTTCGGGTGTGCTTTAATGTGTTTAATATTTTGGGTGGCTTGAATAATTTTACGCCATCTTTATATTATCTGCATAGAGATAGCACTACTGTCGGGAATGTCATTAGTACAATTCATTTGAATTTATGTATAATTTTCATTAGTGCCCCTTGCCTTTTTCTTCAAATTCAGCATGTACGGAATGTTCTTGTATCCCGGACCCAACAACATAGCCACCATTATCAATGATTCATAAAGCCAAAGTAGCCTATCTTTCATCCCTTCAGTATTTCTTTTCTTCCAGGAAATGTGTTTAGCTTTTATGGTCATTCGTTTCACTGTCGCACATTGCCCAAGGTTGTGCGATGGATGCTAATTCACGGTCTTCCCCAGCACCCAGACTAATTAAACATACAGACCAGCTGTGAATGAGAAAAATAGCACAATTTGTGTGGATTCGAAACTTTAGAAAAAGACAAATTAGCCTGGTTTGTGCCCATCTCTCCCAGCACATATTTTGTTTTCTCTTTCACATCAAAAAGAATCCTCTGTTAGTCTGACCATAGAGTCATATTTTCTCTGATATTTCTGTCTTCTTTCATGAATGGGATTTCTAAGGCTCAAAGAACATTGTGCACAAACACTTTGAATTTTGGATATCCCAAAGCTTTAGAAAGTGCTCTGGGAATACATGGCTCATAAACAGTGCAACTTCTGACAGATGAAGCAAACCCTTTCTCTTTTATCGAGACAAAGACATCCTGCAGTGCAATACAGATAAAGTTGCGCCTGTCATTTTTTTGTCACACTGAAAATGAAGCATAAGGCAAGTCCATGGAGATGAAGGCCATTGATTGTTCAATTAAACAATGCAGATGCAATATTTAAAGTGGGTCCCAGTAATAAAAGAAAATCAATTGAGATACTTAACAACAAATGAACATCATATCATTGTAATACAGTTATATAGGAGAAAGCTATGACGTTAGATGCCCAATTGCACCACAATAACATTGCACAACTGTAATTAGATTTCACAAAATAATGAGATATCTTACCTGTAGACCAAGGTGTCATCTGCCGAGCTGTTGTACTGAATCTGATACATCCTGATTCCAGGGAAATGTTGTTGCGAAGGCCACCTGATGAGTGCAGAATTTGCCGTGAGCTCAGCAAGTAGCACTTTCCTCTCCTGAGACCTGGTCTCATTGCTGACTGATGAAGTCGACTTAGCAGAGGTTAGAATATCAGACGGACCTGGATCAGGTTCTCGGATTCGGTTGGTGCTGTTAGCCAAGTGTGGCAGGGGGCTGACCACCAACTCCACCGTGCCTGTAGATTCCCCCGCGGCATTTGACGCAATGCAGGTAAAAACTCCAGTATCCTTCAAGGAAGTGATGTTGATCTCCAAGCTCCCGTTGCTAAAGGATAAAGTGCGGGAGGTGTTGGCGATTAGACGGCCCTCTGGGGAGATCCAGTGAACGTCTGGGTCTGGGTCCCCATTGGCCTTGCATTTCAGGCTGGAGGGTTGACCTTCCATGACAAAGGTTTTGGGAGATTTCCTTGTAATCACAGGGGGATCACAGATGAACTCCTCTTCTGGAATTGTCCAGAAGTACTTTGCCATAAGATCGGGAGGTGACGCGCAAGTTTCCAGGTCATCCTCTCGCGTTACCCTCCTTAGCCAGAGTAGTTCACAGTTGCAATGTAGTGGGTTCCCTCCGAAACTTAGGACGAGGGAGGAAAGGGGTGACCCTTTTGACTTGGCATAAACTGGTATCCTAAGGAACAATGGGTCAGGGGGTATTTTCTTTAGCTTGTTGGATGTCATATCCAGACGTGCTAGTTTGTGTAGGTTCGAAAAGACTCCTAGGGGGACATGCTCGATGAGGTTATGGTCCATGTTGAGAGTGTTCACATTGGTGAGGCGTCCTATAGTGTCCCATGGGATATCCACTAGGTTATTGTACGAAAGATCTAGGTCCTCGAGAGTCCCCAAAAAGTCATCAAATGCATGTGGTGAGATGTTGTGCAGTTGATTGTTGGCAAGGATAAGGTGCCGTAGGTTGGTGAGTCCTCGGAAGTGGTCGTCCGTGATGACGCTTATGCGGTTACTGTCCAGGTGCAGTGCACGCAGCCGCTTAAGATCGGCGAAAGCGTAAGGCAAAATCTGGCTGATGGTATTGCGGGACAACGTCAGGTGCAAGAGACTGGTCATGTTTGCGAAATCCCTCCTCCTTACTGCGGTGATAAAGTTCTCTGTGAGACGCAGCTCCACTGTACGCCGGTCGATGACTGTTGGCACAAAAAGCAGGCCAGTCTTGGCACAGAGGATGGCTAGAGATGGAGACAGGTTCTGGCACATGCAACGCTTGGGGCACAGCTGCCCCGAAGCAGACACAGCCAGGGCCAGGAGGGAGAAGGTCAGCCACTCCATCTCTCGGGGGAACTGCAAGACAAGGAAACCAGTGTGCCAGTGTGACAACATGTAAAATGTACTCCACAGCTGAAGTTCTAAGCCAATGACTTTGTAAAATGCAATTACATTGTATTGGATGAATATCCCTAACACTGGCCTAGACTAAGGGCAATAGTTTGTATTTTTTTTTGTCACTATTTGGCACTGTATACAAATCCACAATCAAATTCATGTTCTTTTTTGGGCTCTCAGAGATTCCAAGGCTCTATTAAAGGGATACTCCAGTTTTTTGGGAAATAGGCTCATTTGACCACTCCCCCAGAGTTAAACAGTTGAGTTTTACCGTTTTTGAACGTATTCAGCCGATTTTCTGATATTTAGAAGAATATCAGTAACTAGACAGTTTCTGGTCTCATTGACTACCATAGTAGGAAAAAAATATACTATGGAAGTCAATGAGACCAGAAACTGTCTGTTTACTGATATTCTTCTAAATATCAGAAAATCGGCAGAATGGATTCAAAAACGGTAAAACCCAACTGTGTAACTCTGGGGGAGTTGTAAAATGAGCCTATTTCCAAAAAAAGTGGAGTATCCCTTTAACACCTTGGAATATGTACTTAACAATGCTCATGTGTATCAAGTTGAAACTTCTTTAGCTTTTATTTATTACTTTATTTCAATAGCGACAGTACACAAAACATTCCAGCCAAAAGATGAAAAATATGCATTTCAAATAGATATATACATATGTATGCATACACATATACACCTATAAAAGAACAATAGATAACTATTTTAGGGATACTTCCAACCCTGGCAGCATAAATATAAATGAATAAACCAATTAATTAGATTTAAATATGCATACAGCTCTGATTTGTTCTAAACCAGTGCTTAACCATCATTGTGAAAGGCTTTATACCATGTACTTATATCAATTGACAACGTGTCAAAACAATCAAATTGATCCCAATTAGGGAAAAAAAGTGATTAGAATGGATGGCAACCACATTTCGAAAATAGTGCACTACTTATTTTTAGTAAAACTGAGAGGTGATGCTTTAATACCACTGGGCTTTGACTAACTTATAGGGAAGGGAAAATAATAAGTTAGTTAAATTGCTCTCGTTGTTTTTAGACATACATTTTTGGGGCCTCTGAGAAAGAAAAAAATATATATGAATACCGTATAAAGGTTAAAGACTAGGTTATTTATTTCACCGTGCATCACAGCTTATGTCAAAAGTAAGAATCCTTTTACCACTGCAAAAGACAAATATGGCTTTTCAATGTTGTGGTTACACTTAAATGTAGAATCAACTCATAAGTAAGTTTGTGCGGAGATGATGCAAGTTGGCAGAAATATGTAACCCCTTCAAATTACATTAGAAAGTTTGCATTGCAAAAAAGAAGAAAAACAACAACAACAAAAAGAAATACAACATGTTTTCCTATATCAAACTAGATTCCTTTGAGTTCAAACTTAGAAATATCACATATTTAATTGTTTTCTCATCTCAATCTCAATGCAACCAGTTTTCATTTTACAGATAACGTGCAATCAAATATCTGCACTTCATTAAAATGTGTGCATCTCAGAAGGTCTTAAGGTAAGCGTAAAATAGGGATTAAGCTTTGTGAATATTAGGCTGCCACGCAACAGGACTGAAACCACAATATTACTGAAGCGAATCTGTCCTGCTGAAACAAAAAAGTATTTTGCTGAGATGCATCTTGTGAACTAGATGTATAGCTGTTATGGTGTGGTTATGCTATGACATCATACAGCTGCTCCTCTCGTTTACAATATTTACGACAATTTCAGCTGCTATGGCCATTGGTTTTTACAACATAACGGTCTATATGAGATTTGTTATTGGCCATTAAATTGTGTGTGACTTTGGAAAAAGGAATCATACACATGAAATTAAATCATGCTACGGTCTTCAATACGTTTTTTTTTTCATTGTTTTTTTTTTTTTTTTCTATTTAGGTATTAAGTACTTAGAAATGAACACAGATTGAATCCAGTGTAACCATGGTTTCAATTATCGGTGCCTTGAGTGAGCCAAACGGATTTGCATCTCATACATACAAAAAAAAAAAAAAAAAAAAAAATCCGAAAAATTCCCTCATGGGACTTGTTTGAAGACTTGTTTCATAGAAAGTTATCTCTAATGTACCATCTGATTTGGCATCCAGTTAAATGTGTGTTTTTCTGCACCACTGGCGGCAGCAAAAAGCCTGCTGTTCTTTGTACTTAATTACTGAATAATCTATTTAATTGTTGATGATGTGACATGATTCTGGATTGTTCTTCAAAACTCCTCTCAGATTTGCAGTAACAGGTCTGTAAGCTCAAAACTGAGCAAAAGTAGGTTTATTTAACTGACATGCTTCTATTTCAGCTTTAAAAATAGTATTTACAATAATACATAACAAGTTCTAATACCATTCAAAGTTTGGTGTCACATTTGATCTGTCTAAGTGTTTTACTTGAGTTGGACTTTGCTTGAGTTAGTTTTGCGCTGTTCTCAATTCAGTTTCCGATGTGTTCTTTGTTGATGCTCTTCTTTTGCCATGGTCTTTTGTTTAGCCCCAGGCTGTGTCCGAAATCGCCCCCTATACCATTAAATAGGGCACTATTTGAGAGTACAGCCATTTGTAGTGGTGTCACCATTTGTAGTACACTCATTAAATCCCATAATGCACCACAATGACGAGTGTATGACGGATATAGACTCAGATACTACCCATAATGCACTATGAGGGTTGTGATGAATGAATTCCTGCATCTTGCCAGAATATTGCGCTCACAAGCTGAATCATCCGTTCATTTTTCCGAACACAATTTTGAACAATTTCGAACACGTCAAGTGTGTGTCTGTGTATTTGAAGCCTGTCTTGGTCTAATCACCTCAGGGTTTTTTTTTTTTCTTTCTGTTTTTCGAGTTTTGATTATGGTTAGCCTAAGAAGTGTGTCCCATGGGTTTATTTTGATTACAAAGATAAAATGCTTGCAAATAGATCGAGCTCTTTGATTTTCATCTTTGTTTGCAACACCTACATGACATTTGGGGGCGAAGTGACACATTTATAAAATTAAAAAAAAAAAAAAAAAAGATTTATATTTCCAATAATTATTGAAATTAATCTTTTGAACACACTGTAAATAAAAAAAAAATTGTTCATGATTTGTAATCACAACATTTTTTTCTTTTGTCAAATCAACTTAAATAATTCACGTAGTTCAGATAACATAATAGTTTGAGTTTCTGGTGATTAAATCAATCTCCTTCATTGTATTAACTCATTTTTTCATTTCATTTCAATGAACTTAATATTTTAAGGCAACCAGGTTACTTCATTTTTTAAGTTAAACCAACAATATTTTTTTTTTTACACTGCATAATCTCCACAAAAAAAAAAAAAAAAAAAAAAAGGAGAAAGGTTTCCAGCATGTTTTCTACATTTATAATTAAGAAATGTTTATTGAGCACCAAAATCAACATATTAGACTGATTTCTGAAGGATCATGTGATACTGAAGACTGGAGTAATAGCTGCTGAAAAATTCAACTTTGTAATTGCAGGAATAAATTATTTTTTATTAAAAAAGAACAGTTAAAATGAACAGTCAAAATAAATAGTAATATATATACACACACACACACACACACTTTTTTACTCTCTTTTTGCTCAAAACCGGTAAAAACGCCTACAAACCTCAAACGTTTGAACGATAGTGTAACATTGTGTACATTTTAACATTTGTTGAAATGCAAGGGTAAAGACAATGGAACTCATTTTGTATAATGTACAGTTTACTGTATATTGGTCATGATTCGGACAAAGAATCCTGAATATGAAAAGAATATCAAGAGTAGAAATATCAAGAGTGAAAAGAATATCAAGAATATCAAGAGTCCTTCTTATGAATTAAGCTAAAGCCACACCATACACAGCATTTGGGAATTTCCACTCGGAATAAGTACAATATTGGTTAATGGAAATTCAGATACAAAACCTAAATACCATTCAGAACAGTAGCCAGTCCTTCTTCTTATAAGTCTCCATCTGTAAACAGCTTAGATTTAAAGAACGAAAGGTGGATAAAACTACCTGAAGTAGAAGGAGAGAGTGACACTTCTCCACTTTACTCTGATGTAAGTGAGAAGCGGTAAGTGATTTCCGGAGTCTTTCTACCGTTCCGTGCCTCTGCGACTGACAGAATTCCTAGCCCAGTGAGCTCTGATGCAATGGAGATGGATTACCAAGTCCATGTTTCTTTCTACCAGAGTGCCCATGGGCCCTGTGAGGTAAAAGTGTGGTGAATCGATATGAACTTCCTTTTCCGGGAAGGAATGAAGAAAAATAGCCTGACAGCACCATTATTTTTAGCTTGTTTTGTTTTTGTCCGTCCATTCAAAGCGGCTGCATATTAGTTGTGTACTTTGCTACAATGCATCATCATGTATCATCATGTGACTCAACCCCCTTTGTGCTTCAATCAGTGTCATCCAGTGGAGAGCTCTAGAATCAAGCAATCACAGTAATCATATGCTGCCCTGGGACTTGAGACGTGACCCGCAGGGCGGATGTCATACTTGTCTGTCACTCACAGTGTGCACCGAATTATGAACTGAACGAAAGCCACTGTATAGAGCTTTTCAATTAAAAATTCTCAAAGGATTTAATTTGACACAATGGAGGCCCAGTTGGGTGTCATCAAAGACGGAGCCCCCTTTGGGGTACACCAAATTGGCTTGCAAAACGGAGTAAAAATATAAAAAAAATAAAACTCTGAGACCAGCAGAGACACAGACCTGAGCTTTTTACACTGATATCTGTCTCCAGCACTCGTTCATCTCGGGTAAATTTATGCCCATTAATTCATGTTGCTATGACAATCCAAAACAGAGTTCATTAATCACATCCCATTATCAGGCATTTTATCTTAACAGTGGGCCTGTGGTTTGCTTCTCAGTATTGAACACTGATCTGAATTATATCAACACAATGACAACC